CACACACACACACACACATTGAGGGAGATAATATACTCAGTCTACCATTCAAATAATCTCCTGGAAACAGGCTCACAGACACACCCAGAACCACCAGATATCTGGGTATTACATGGCCCAGTCAAGCTGACACAAAATTAACCAACATAATATCTCATTAAAGCTATTATTAAAAAAATATACATGAGCCCTGGCTGGTGTAGCTCAGTGGATTGAGTGCGGGCCTCAGAACCAGACAGTCGAGGTTCGATTCCCAGCCAGGGCACATGCCTGGGTTGCAGGCCGGTTCCCTGCAGGTCAGTTCCCAGCAGGGGGCGCACAAAAGGCAACCCATACATTGATGTTCCTCTCCCTCTCTCCTTCCCTTCCCCTCTAAAGATAAATAAAATTTTAAAAAGTCTTTAAAAATATATATACATGACTCTTCAGGACTGTCAAAGTCAAGACTGAGATACTACCACAGACCAGAGGGGACTCTGGAGACCTGACCCCAAAATGCAGTGTCACAACGAATCCTGGATCATCAGTGGGAAACCTGGTAAAATCTGAACAAAGTCTGGAGCTTAGTTGCTAGTAATACACCTACATTCATTTCTTCATTTGACAAAGGTGTCATGGTCACGTCCACTGTCAACATTAGGGGAAACTGACGAATAGGTGGGAACTTTCTCTACTGTCTGCAGGTTTTTTTGTAAATCTAAAAATAGTCCCAAATAAAATATCTTTACAAAAACTCAAAACATACGAAGCCAGTGCTTTCTGGTGCCTACATATTGCCAGGCACTTCACACCATTCACTGCATTTAATCCTCACAGTGGTCCCCACAGAGTAACTGGGGTTTACAGAGAAGGTGAATTGGATTCTCCGGAGGTGGTAGAACTGAGGGGTTTTTTAAAAAGATTTTATTTATTTTATTTTTAGACAGAGAGAAAGGGAGGGAGAGAAACATCGGTTGGTTGCCTCTTGGACCAAACCCGCAACCCAGGCGAGTGCCCTGACCAGGTATCCAACCGGTGACCCTTCGCTTTGTGGGACGATGCCCAACCCACTGAGCCGCACTGGGCAGGGCATGCGCTGATACTTGAACTCAGGTCTGTCTGACTGGGCCAGGTGAGTCACAGAGCCCCATCTACCCCCAGGAAGGTCCAGTAATACAAGTAACTGAGTAAGGACATAAAGGATATCTCCATACCTGAAGAGTAAATGTTAAACAAATGACATTTACTAGATCATGCTTGCTGTTTCCATTACATTCTACACCCATGAACAGCAGGCTAGGGATTTGAACATTTTTTTAAAGATTTTATTTATTTATTTTTAGAGAGAGAGTGGACAGGAAGGAGAAAGAGAGGGAGAGAAATACCAACATGTGGTTGCCTCTCACACTGTCCCCACTGGAAACCTGGCCCACAACCCAGGCATATGCCCTGACTGGGAATCGAACTGGCAACCCTTTGGTTTGTAGGCTGGCACCCAATCCACTGACTGAGCTGCATCAGCCAGGGGGGTTGAAATTTCTCCCAAACACCCGCACAGCCTTTCAGGAAATAAAAATTCCCATCAATTGACGTGATGGATGATTTCTCCCATCCGAGTACTAACCAGGCCCGACCCTGCTCACCTTCTGACATCAGACCAGATTGGGCATGTTCAGGGTGCTATGGCCGTAGACATGGATGATTTCTGTTACATTAAATCCACCCAGTCTTTTTCACGGCACACAAACGATTGGATAACTTTAACCAGTTTACACATACTACTTTGGGTTTTCTACTTTTTTACTTACCATGATTTCCTGTACCTGTTTACAGGCGTGCACTCAGTTCCCATAACGATCATTCCAACAGCCACATAGTGTTACAGGACGTGGGCGACGATGGCTTACTTAACCATCTCCCTGTTGTAGGGCACTTGGGATGTTCCCAGCGTGTGACTGATTGGGAAAGTGCTGCTATAAATGTCTTCGCACAAACTGCTTGTTAGATCTTTGGGGCTATTTTTGAGCAAGTGCATCTGTGGGAAGCGGATGAAGGAAAAGTCCCTGGAATTTTTCTTTTTCTTTTCTCTTTTGTTCCGCTCATGTATGCATCCATGAGTTGATTGTTATATGGGCCCTGACCAGGGATGAGCCCGCAACCTTGGCGTAGGGGACCAGCACTCTAACTAGCTGAGCTACCTGCCAGGGCTGTTTCCTGCCCTGCAAAGTGTGGCCCTCCAGCCAGCAGTGGCTGGAGCTTGTAGAAAGAATCACAGGATCTCAGGCCCTTCCTAGAATTGACTAAATCAGAATCAGCATTTTACCAAGCCCTGCAGGAGGCGGTTCATGAGCACAGTGAAAGTTGGAGAAACCATGCCTTAGGGTACTTACCTGTCAAGTAGGGATAAATAAAGGTTCTTTCTCATGAGGTCGAGTGAGCCTTGATGTATTAATACAAACACATAAAGCGTACAGAAGAGCATCAGGTACCTAGCGAGTACTGTGTGTTGCTACTTTCATGACTCTCCTTAGCTGGCTGAGCAAATTCTGCTGTCAGGGGCCCAAGTGGAGTTCCTGAAAGAGAACAAATAGGGAAGATGCCTCTGGCGGTGTGGGCAGAGGTTGGGGATGATACCTTTGCAACACACTTTCCCACTTACCATGATCAGAGTCCCCAAGAAGAGACAGATTCAGATCCAGTCCTGGAGAGCTGATGAGTGAGTCTGAGGGTGCTCTGGGCAGGAACCGGGACGGGGTGGCAGCCAGGTATGATCTGATACTTTTTGGCACTTGAGCAAGTACACAATAGGGGTGGGTGGCCAGCTTGTGTCATCAACAGATGGGCTCATGAATGATACATGTGGAGTCTGACTCCACAGAGAGAGCAGTCCCTTAGATTTTCAACCTGTGTGCCAGCTGGCCTGCAGACAGCTGCAGATAAGGTGCACCTGCCCTGACTTCCCTCAGGGGCGGAGCCAGCCTCTCCTGCTCACCTGCAGCCTGGGGCTGATGGACCTGCTAGGATTGAGCAACTGCAAACAGATGAAGGGGCTTCTTCTTCCCAAGTCCTCTGCTCGTTGGCACTTTATTCATCCTTCAAGGCGCTGTGTTTTCTTCATGATTCTACTAATCCCAATTAAATAAATTTTCTGTTTTACCACCATTTGAGTATTTTAGCTGATTTTGAAATCTTCAGAATACATTAAATTGGGCCTCTCAGACTCAAATGTTTCCAGGGGCCACAGGTTACATAAATACATGAAGTAGGACAGGCAACAAATGGTCATGGTGGGGACTGTGGCAACTGGTGAGTCCTGTGTAAAGAGGACACTGCTGCTCTTTCAGCCCATCACCATGCAGGAGTGTAAGCCCAGTGTGACCAGACTTTCCCACTTGTCAATAGACAGGAAAAATCTGGATTTCCATGTAAAATCTTTTCCTTTTCAATTTAGAAACAGTGACATAAATATTTACAGTGGCTTTATTCATAATCAGCCCAAACTAGAAACTACCTAAAAGTCCTTCAACCAGTGAATGGATAAAGAGTGGGTAAACAAACTGTGACACATCCATAACATGAAATACACTCAGAAAGAAAGAAGGAAAGAAACTACTGATTCATACAATAATCATCCAATCTCAAATGTGTTATGTAGACTGACTTCTTCTACTTCTATCCTGGATGTAATACATGCATCCCACTTACCTTCTCACCCAAAACAACCAAAAAATGGAGAACATACATAGAAATTTTATTTTATTTATTATTTTTTAAAATTTCCCTACATTTATTTTTTTAAAGATTTTATTTATTTTAGAGGGGAAGGGAAGGAGAAAGAGGGAGAGAAATATCAACATGTGGTTGCCTCTCACGTGCCCCACACCGGGGGCCTTGCCTGCAACCTAGGCATGCACCCTAGACTGGGAATCAAACCAGCGACCCTGATTTGCAGGCCCATGTTCAATCCACTGAGCTATGCCAGCCAGGGCAGGAATTTTTTTTTTTTTTAATTCAAGACACTGGACACCAATCAACAGAGGTTAGTCCTACAATTTCCCCAGCTTACAGGGGAAAAGGCCATGTGATAACAGAGGATTTGGGTGATACAGCTGCATGCTAAGGAATGCCAAGCAAGGATTGACAGCCACCATGCAGTCTCAGAGGGCGCTGCAGACACCTTGTTTTGTACTCTTAGCACCCAGAACTGTGAGACAATACACTGCTGTTGTTTAAGCCAGTCAGTTTGTGGTTAGGGAAGCCCTAGGACCTAACACAGGTATCAATTGAACTGAGGCTTGAATGATGAGCAAAAGGAAACGATATGAAGATTTAGGGGGAAGAATGTTCCACACAAGGGCAGGAAGAGAAGACACAGGGGCCAGAGGTGGGGGTGAGATAAGAGCTGTGACTGGAAAGCCAGGCAGGGACAGATCTTGAGGGAAGGAAATTGGGATTCAATTACCTTCGAGGTGGTTGTGCCATTTGAGTGACAAACAGCTGTCCAGATAGTCACCCAGAGTCTTACAGGGCAGGAATCTAGGATGTTATTAGTGGCAGAAAATAATGACAATGTGAGATGTCAGGGCCCTCGCTGTACTTCCCCGCCCTACTCGGTGACCTTGTTGGACACTCAATGTCAGTTGTAGCTTTCCAGGCTGCGGGCTTTGGCTCAGGCCAGGTGATGCCAAAGTATGGTGCGCTTTAGGGTCCCCTAAAACACCCTTCTCCCTCTAGACCCCAGACACCCCAAATAAACACAATCGAATTAATTTATATAAAGTAAGCTCTGCAAATACAGTCTGCGAACGAGTTCCCTAGCCCCAACGAGAAGACAGATTCTGGAGGCACAGACACATTCCCTAGGGGCCAGAGACAGACTGCAAGCTGCAGACGTCCCTGGGCGGGCGCGCGACACACGGGGGCGGGGCCACGGAGGCGCAGGCACGTGCGCATGCGCGCGGCCTGCCTCCCGATGAGGGGGTGGGGCGGGCGCCGGGGCGGGGCTGTGACGTCAGGTGCGCGCGTGGCTCCGGCAGCGCAAGAACAGCTGGTGTCTCCGAAAGCGGCCGGCGAGTGGACGGCGGTGGGGCGCTCGTGGCCCGCCGCGCCACGCTGCGGGAGCCGCCGCCGCCGCCGCCGCCTGGGGCCACTGCACCATGTCGAGCCAGCTGGAGGGCTGCGAGCGCGAGTGGCACGAGCTGGAGGGAGAATTTCAGGAACTGCAGGTAAAGCCGGGCCACCTGGTTCTTCCACTCTGCGATCTGAGGCGCAGTGCCTTCCCCCTTCCGACTCCCCCAGCCCGGGCGGTGGGCACCCCCAAGGGACTCCTGGGCTGTGGGTGTCTCTGGCCAGGCCGCGGAGGCCGGTGGTCCGCGTGGGCCAGCCCCCTCCCACCTCCCGGCACTTCAGTTCTTCATCCACTTGGGGCGCCCGGTCGGAGCCCCACTCCCCCGCCCTCGCACCGGCTCCTTGGTCCGCGCACCTCCTTCGCTGCAGAAAGTTGGTCTGTCGCCTCTGAGGGGAAGTTCCAGGCGCGTCCCTGTGAGGGAGGCTCGAGGGGGCAGCCCGGCACCGCGCTCCGCAGGGGTCTTCCGGAACCTCACCCCCGGCCGCGCTCCGCTGCAGCCCGGTTCTGCAGCGTGCGCTTGGGAGACGTTCCTCTTGAACCCATCGGCTGTGCGGAGGGAGCAGCGACCCCTGTGCCCCACCATCGGGGCTCTGGCGCGGCTGCAGGCTGAGTTCGGCGCGGTGGATGGCATCCGTCGGTATGACAACTGGGGCGCCTCCCTCACTCCACGGCTCAGAGCCCTGCGAGGGGGCTGCGGGGGCGGAGGTCCGAGAGCCCCCCCCCCCCCCCCCCCGAGAGAATGGCTTTGTTGTTGTGGGGTCCGAGCAGGAGGGTTTGTTCCCGGTGGGAGTTCTCAGAGGCCTCTGCCACCTGCTCTGCCTACTGGAGACGGACGCCCCAGGAAACCGTGGTGTTGGCCGAGGGGACTCCCGGGCCCTGTTTGGAGATGGGGCTGCCCCCTCTGCAGCTCGGGAACTGTGTGTGTCTCCTCAGCGTCGGGCTCTGCCGGTCTGAAATCGTTTCGCACACCGTCACCCAGCTCCTAGTCCTCGGCTGGAGCAGTGACCTTTTTCCTGAACGTGTAGCCCTTGTGTGCAGTTGGTTGGCCTTTTGCCGTGTCCGGGGAGGGGAGAGGAGATTGCCAAGGGTGTCTGTAATGGGTCTTTCTAGACAGGAGGCAGCAGGTCCGGAGGAGTAGAGAGAGGGGTGCTGGAGAGATGGGCCAGTTTTAGGCATGAGCAGAGGATACGGTACCCAGAACCGGAAGGGTATCCCTTTCTGGGTCTGTCCAGCATGTGTGAGCTGGTGCCCTCTCCTTCGATCTAAGGCTTGGGTCCCACCCAGTTCCCCAGGGACTCTTGTGGCTCCACTGCCATCAAGAAAGCACAGCTACTTCTTAATGCTTTGTCCTGCTGGGCTCTTATATCTCATCCAGCCATGGAGCCACAGAGGGGGTTTGAGGGTCAGGAGTGGGAGAAGGAGGTTGCCGTGTGGAGCTTTTGTTGTTCATCCTTCCTTCCCCTTGTCCTGCCTTAGACTAGGAGAAGGAGGAGGGGTCTTAACACTTCAGAACTGTGCAATTAATGCAATTAACAGCAATTAGACTGCAAGTCTTCGCAGGCAGAGGTCGCAAAGGAGACCGTTTGATTTGTCATTGTGTTCTCACTGAGTGTCTCTGGGCCTCAGGTGTGTGAGGGACAGAGGGGAATCGGGCATTAATTCTAGATTTCAAACCCTGGTGCTTATACTTAGCAAGGGTGTGCCAGGCGGAAGCTGTGATGTCGCCGGCTTAGTTCTTTGGCAGCAGGGCAGCAGGAATGGACTGGGCCCTGCCTCGGGGCAGAGAGACCCTGCTGGCCTTGGGCTTTGGTGGCAGCTGCTGGGTCAAAGGCCAGTGATGAATGGAAGGCCACAGAGGCCCCTGGGGGTTAAGGTCAAAACCACTATGTCTTCACTGAAGCTTGGGCATGCTAATTTAACTGGGGTCACACAGCAATTTACTGATCAAGTTGGGGCTGGATCTTAGTGCCCTAAATGTTCGGTTCATATGTCTGTCCTTGTGTTGGGAGCCCCCTCTCTATCATATTAAATGGGACAGCGCTGAACTGCTGAGACGAAAGTCTCTGGAAACATGCATACAAGTAGGGTGTACACTGTCCGTGTGTATTTATTGGACAGACTTTCAGTTATGAGACAGTTGCTGGGGAACAAGCAGGTCAGCATAGGTGGGCAGGTGGGCACTAGAAAGCTTAACAATAGGAAGGGTTTCTTCTTTTATTTCCACCAGAAAATCCTCATCTATCTTAATTTTCCAGCATCTGCTTCAGAATCTGGGATTCATGGGTTTTTTATGCTTATATCTCTTCGATCTCATCTTTCTGGAAGCAATGTATAATGTTGCTGGGTTTTACCTCTCCTTCCCTTTTACAAATAAAGGGAGGAAAGAGGAGGCTAATTTTCAGGCCCTGTAGGATCCGAAAGATCTTTGGAATTCCTCCTCCCCACCCCCCAAAGTCATAATCTCTGGGAATTTCCAGAGGAAAGGATCCGATTTCTTCTGACTGTGATTTGCATGTGCCAGGGCCTCCCTCAGTGGGTTCCGGGACAAGGTCAGGTCGCTATGGGGACTTTGCTTTTTTTGCCTCGTTGGGGTTTCAGCCTTGCCAATGAATTGAGCATGGCCCTGTGGCCTGTGGTAGGACCACAGAAGGTCACTTACAGACCCAGCGGCAAGTAGTTTAATGAGCCTTTTCTGCCTTGTCTTACTCCCCTGGAAAGCCGGCCTTGCCCCTCCCACCAAGGAAGGAGGTAGCTGAAGTGCCCTTTCCCTAAACCTGATCTCATAGTAGGTGGACCACTGTAAAGACTACAACTTTTACTACCAATGAAATGGGCGTCCCTCTCGCTACTGTGTATAATAGACATCAGGAGGGCAGGCTGTAGCAGGAAGAGAGTATTATTTCATTAAAACCCTGTGGAATGAGAAATGAGGCCAGCAATGTCTAATCTGATCCCCCAGTCGGAGGATTTGTGCAGAGCTGACAGGCATGAATGACTCCCTAGTAAATAATTTTGGTAATTTCAGTGTATTATTTTTTCCAAAAGGCTACTAAGTTGTTAGGACATAAATGCTTTTTGGTTATTTGGTCTGAGGACGCGTGAAAAGTTTACCGAAACACTAAAGAACCTTTGTTTTATGTGCGGATGGTAGTTCTGGTTACACAATTGTATATATCTGCCAAAATTCATTGAATCATACACCTGAACACTGGAAAATTCATATGTAAATTATACCCCAATAAAGCTGATTTTTATTTTATTTCTTTTTTTAGAATTTTTTTAAAAAGATTTTATTTATTTATCTTTAGAGGGGAAGGGAAGGACAGAGGGAGAGAAACATCAATGTACGGTTGCCTTTCATGCATCCCCTGCTGGGAACTGGCCTGCAGGGAACCTGCCTGCAACCCCAGTATGTGCCCTGTCTGGGAATCGAACCGTGATTGTCTGGTTCACAGGCCCGCGCTCAATCCACTGAGCTACACCCAATAAAGCTGATTTTTAAAAACCAGGACGTGGCCTGTAACATAGACCTTATCTCCTAGCCCTTTAAAAACTGTGGAAACTGGAGTGCAAAGAGACTGCGTAACTCACTTAGCAAGGGGCAGACCCTGGAGGTGACGTCAGTCTGGCTGCGCAGCATCATCACTTAGCTGTTATGTTGTCCTGCCTTCCAAGTGTCTGACACTTGTGCTCATACTTCCACTACTGCTCCCAAAACAGACATTACTAGTTGATCCTTACACGTGACTCAGAATCTTTCCTCTCCCAATACGGAATCGATGCGGTTTAGATGAGGTCAACTTGCCATCCTTGGGAGTATTTCCATGGTGATGAATCTTAGTTAAGCATACTCAGCATCCAGAAATCTTTGTCTGATGTTGATCCCTTGGAAAGAGAACTACATAAATGTAATCTTTTGAAAACTTCCCACCAGAGAAGGGCACAGCTGTAAGGTACCACATTTTGGTGGTGACCATGGCTCTGTTGCAATTTACTGGGTTGCCCACCAACCCCGATGCTCCTGGGCCAGAGCCCTGTCCAAAAATGCCAGGAGATTCCATCGGTGGCAGTTCTCACAATAAATGTTGACTCAGGAGTTCTGACTTCCAGTTCTGGATCTTACGACTCAGCCAAGATGCCTTGTGTTACGAGGGCATCTCCAGATGTTTCACGGTGTTCTGCAACCTGGAATCATTAACCTCACCTTCCCACTGGAGCAAAGCTCAGGGCCTCAGAGGACAGGACAGGTGGCAGAACTCCGAATCCTCCAACAGCAACTTGCTTGTTTGTGTCTTCAATACGCAGTATAAAAGAAGGGTAATCAGATGTGCAGGAAAGACGCTATGGGCATCTCAGCTCACCGAGCTAATGTTAGTGCTTCTCTGTCTTTTTTTTTTATCCATTATACATTTTCATAAGTAATATCTGTACTCATTGTTAAAATTTCAAACAGGAGATTTGTCCAATAATTTTCATAACCCTTGTTTATAACAGCTAAGAAACAGAAACCCAAGTGTCCATCAGACTGAATAATTCCACCGAACATCCATGGAGTGGGGTGTGGAGAGCCAAATGAATAAACTAGAGCAACATGTATCAAGGTGGATGAATCTTTTAAACAGAAAAGCAACACTGAGCCCTGGCTGGTGTAGCTCAGTGGATTGAGTACAGGCCTGTGAACCAAAGGGTTGCCCGGTTCGATTCCCAGTCCCGGCATATGCCTGGGCTGCAAGCTGGGTCCCTGATGGGGGGTGTGCGAGAGGCAACCACACATTGATGTTCTTTCTCTCTCTTTCTCCTTCTCTTCCCCTCTCTCTAAAAATAAATAAATAAAATCTTAAAAAAGAAAGAGAAAAGCAACACCGGAATGAAGTGTTGCAGATGAAGAGTTGCAGAGAGGGATAGACAGTGTAACATGTATAGTAAAGTGAAACTATGTATCACTGACTGATGCATATCTTTGGTCCAGATTCACTGCCGTGAAGATCAGGCAGAGCCCTGGCAAGAAGCGTCTCTGTCTGAAGGATCTCACCGAAGAGTTTAAGGAAGGGGCTGTGTATGGAGAGGTGTGGCAGTTTCAGGCCCCTGCAGCTGGGA